GGCTCTGGTCTGTTACCCTCAGGCTTCACTTTCCCTAATGGTAGGGCTGATTTTGGTTAAACCCCAGGCTTACTTTATCACCTATGGGCGGTGTTAAGCTCATCGCCTCATGTTGAGGGGTGGCCATAATGAATTTATTTATAGCACCAAGAGCCAGCTCTTCTTTACAAGAACACATTCATTATCTAGTTCTTCCACTGGCAACAGGAATCCCCATAGCAACTTTTATGAGTTAAAGGACCCCAACTCTGACGGCAGCAGGCGTGAGGTGCAGGAATCATTATGTGGCACACACAGTTCTGTTCTCCACCACAGGGAAATGCCCAGGGGCTCAGGAGCAACATCTGGCCCCACTAGCATCTCTTGCCTGAACTAGTTGCTTCATTCTGCCTAATAGTGGGGATGGCTCTACTGTTATTTCCCAGGCTAGAGGTACAAGCTCGCTTGCTAATTGAAGGTTTCACAGTGCATCCAAATTTCTCCTAGGATTCTAGAGTTCTGACTTGTTTACTTTGCAAAATGCCACAAATGACATAAGGATTCCCATTTCCCCCCCTGTCTTTCTTATTTTCTGAAGTTTGTACAGAGCAGTTTGCAGACTGCTGCAGCTGCTTGCGCCTTTCATTTATTTGCATCTTTCCTGATGTGCACATTGATGAACAGTGCAAAAAGCAACCATAATATGATTCTTAGAAGTTTACATGGAAATTCTTTCTAGGCTGTGTTTAGTGATGTGCGCAAGGATGCACAGTCACATTAGTGAAACACTGGAGGAAAAGAGTTGCTATGCAGTCATGTATTATAGTCCTGTTGAGGTGTCCACTTGCATGTGGATTCAATGGGAACAGGTGCTCTAGCTTTGCCCCCCCCCCCAACAATATCTGGTCACCTCTCTCACACACAAAGAGTACCTTTTGGAACAGGAGTGGTTCAGTTATCTGTGAACACTCTTCATGCAATCAGGAATGCTGGAGAATCAATGTCTAGATTAGGGATGGGCAACTTGTGGCCCTTCATGTTGTTAGACTACAATGCCCATAGTTCTCCATTATTAGATGTTTTTGTTGGAGCTGATGGGACTTGTCCAATAGTATCAGGGGGAGTGGCCCTTCATGTTAGACTACAATACCCATAGTTCTCCATTATTGGATGTTCTTGTTGGAGTTGATGGGACTTGTCCAATAGTATCAGGGGGTGCTACACTCTTCATAGATAACGTTCTTTGTGTATCACTGCATTCCTCTAGATTTGGCAATTCACTCTAAAACTCAGACGAGAAACTTCTTTGACTATATCTTTCTATTGTTCAAGAGAAGCTATGCCTTCATTGTACAAATACAGTCCCAGTTTCCCAGTGCTCTGTAGTTGGAGCATTCTGTGTTTGCCCTGGTGATCTCCAGCTTGCACAAAGGGGAAAGAGGAACTGCATGTCTCCTGTAAGTGAAGGATACTGGTGAATATAACCAGAAATGAACGATGCACCTGTGGCTAAATCCTTTGACTCTTACAGGTTATCTATACTACATATTTGCAGCAGTTTGATTCCACTTTTAACTGCCACGCTCCATCCTATGGAATCGTGTGAGGATCTGCAATTTGATGAGCTACTTAGAATGCTCCTACACAATTCAGGGGACGGCCCAAGACATAGAACTATAAGTACTTCATAAAACTACAAATACATGTAGAGCCATGGCAGTTAAAATGGAATCAAACTACTGTAACTATGCAGTATAGATGCGCTGTTACTTTCCTTTAATAGAAAGTATTTCAATCTACAGAGCCAGCGTGGAGTGGGGGATAAAGTATTGGAATGAGACTCAGGGGTACAGGGCTCAAATCCTTATTTGGCCATGGAAACTCAAATGGAGAGGGGGAGAATGGCAATGGTAAACCAGTCCTTGAATATCTCACACACCTTTAAAAACTATCTCAGAGTCACTAGAAATTATAAGTAACTTGACAGCACAGCACAGACACACATTCTAATCCACTATCTCTTCAATTTAGGTTCCCTACTAACAGAAGCCAATTGCCTATACTTCATGTGAGATAAGTAAGTGTGTTTATGTATATATTTTAAAGGAAAACATCAAAAGCAGTATTTGAGATGACAGGTCATGGGATAAATTTGCAGATATTTATCACCACGTGTATTTTTAATAATTGCTGATGGGGGTGGACACTGTTCATTTGGAAATTTGCCCTGATTACAAAGTGAGTAAGGAGATTATTGAAAATTGCCACAACAAAAATTATACAAATAGTAGTAAGGTAAAGCTAAAGGTTCCCCTTGACATTTAGTCTAGTCGTGTCCGACTCTAAGAGGCGGTGCTCATCCCCGTTTCCAAGCCATAGAGCCAGCGTTTGTCCATAGACAGTTTTTTCATGGTCACGTGGCCAGTGCAACTACACACGGAATGCCATTACCTTCCCACCGTGGTGGTACCTATTTACCTGCTTGCATTTTTACATGCTTTTGAACTTCTAAGTTGACAGGAGCTGGGACAAGCGACGGGAGCTCACTCCGTCGCGTGGATTTGATCTTCCGACTGCTGGTCTTCCGGCCTTGCAGCACAGAGGCTTCTGCGGTTTAATCTCAAGTGCCACCGCGTCCCACTATCAAAATAGTACTACATTATAAAGCAAGTGGACAAACATGTAACAGAATATTTCCTATGTATGTGCACACTTACAGTTATTCTTTTTTGTAACCCATAGGGTAAGGAAATTCTATTAGAATACTTTTTTGTTGTTTTGCAACCATTTCTTAAAGGCATATGGAGGTGGAAATTTCACAGCTAAACATTCCCATCTGTCCATTGGCTCATTTGCGGCTGGGGTTTTGGCTGCCTGAAAAAGCTGACATCATGCCCTAGATTCTATGGGAAAGAGGTAAAAATGTCCTTTCAGGTTGTTCTGCCCTAGGTTCTATGGGGAAGAGGTAAAAATGTCCTTTCAGGTTGTTCTAGTAATCAGCTGCATTCAAACATGTGCTACTTTATATTAAGTTTTTGTTTTCCTTTTAAAATTTCCACCTACTTTAAAAACAAAGTGAGATTGACAGTACAACAGATCAGTCCAGTGATTTGCATGTGATATTGGTGGTGAGATGGAATGATTGGAAGGCATGTGACATAAAAGATAATCAAGGTTCCAAGAATGCGTTTCTAAATTCACTCTCAATGAGCAAACCTGTAATGTCAGCTCTCCATAAGAGCCACTAAATAGTCAGTGGGCAAGTGTGAGGTGACTGCTGGATTTCCAGTTGGTTCCAATCAGTAATCTAGACTGTAGACAAAGCACAGAGGTCAATGTTTTAGGATCCAAACTTGGATGTGAATTAGATGATACCCAAATATGGTGACAATATAGACTGTAGCATGATCAGCTCAAGGTCCTCAAGCTGAAAATTAATTCCCCTCCCCCACAACTAAATCTTCCAGCAGCATCACCAAAGATGCATATACAAGTCAATGTAAGAGACATAAATATACTTTTATGAGACATATTTATATAGTATAAATATATATACTTCCTTTGCTTTTTTTGGTCATATAAGACTTTCTTCCCTGGCTGGAATATATGCAATATATTGTATTCTGCCTACAACATATAGATGTAAAAAAGTTACATCTATATGTTGAATAAAAATCTTTCTCACTCTGAAATATATATTTGATGACAAATAACATAAACTTCAGCTGAAGGCTGAATAACACTGATAATTATGCTAATATAGTATATGTTAAAGGTTTCACTTTAATACGGCACTTTATCACAATTAACTTGTCTTATTAAGTTTCCAAGCAACATTGTTACCTGTAACACATTTCTTCTAAGCACTGCAAAAATCATGGCTACAGGCAGAATTGTACTCTTAAGTACACCCATTTTAAAAACACCTATCAGAGTAAACTGCTTCAAGTCTCCCTCTCAGTAAGCCATCCCTTGTTGGTTTACCTCAGCTTTCATTTACTGTCTCAATGCATTCACTCAGAAACACTAGCAATGAGAAAGAATAAAGTTTTTCCATTTACTTACAGTTATAAAACAAGCATCACACTGTGTAAAAATGTCAACTTGTTACATCACTAAGGATAACTGGTTAATGAGCTTCATTACTTACCAACTGACTGGTTACATAGCTCACAGAACACATCACTCTTAACTATCCACTTCTGACAGACTCCACTGCTAACACTGACAGAACTCTGACTGGGGAAAAGGTGGGAAAAACAATCAGGTAGAGAAGGAATCTCAGCTGTTACTGCGTTGACTGACATTTGTTGCAGCTTTCTCCTAGCCAAAACCTCCCAAAGGGCATCATATGCAGGTTGCAGTATTTCCAACATGCCCAACTAGCATAACCTTGCATTTGGGCATTTTTAGTTGGGTTTTGCCTTCAAATTAGACAAAAATCCACTTGCAGCTATACAGGTTGCAAATAAGGACATTTCTATGGAATTAACTCGGCAGCTGGGGTGTTACCTGAAGACTTGAAATGTGTGAGCTGTGGACTAAGGAAAAAATCAAAACAAATGTTGACTCCCAAGAATATTTGAAAGAAATGCATGCGCAAAAACTGGGCAGAAAAGGATAATAAATATTAGTGGTATTTTTGCAACAATAACACTATACATGACTTAAGAAAACAAGAAGGGGCTAGTGTAAATTTATGTGGAAGTATTAGAAGAAGGTTCTAAGGATGAATGATGCAGAAGTGCTTCATGTCTGTGGGTTGCTAATGAGATTCAGCCTTCTCCAATTTTGAGTCTTGTTGAATAATGAAAAAGGTGAGTTAGGGGAAAAAACACCAAGGTATACTTTTCAAAGAATCATAGAATCTGTAGCCAGCAACATCCATATTTTATCTAGCTGTGAAGGTTTCCTTGCAATATATTTACCAATGAAAAAACCTGTTATATAGTTTTATGAGTCCTGAAATTAAGCCAAGTAGACTCAACCCATGAGAATGAAGAAAACAAGTTAGACACATGTGAGGTAAACCTTTTATTATTAAAATGGAGCTATTCTTACATATTTAAAATATTTTATATGCAAACTGCAGAGCATTTTAAAAACCATCAAATATAGGCAGAAAACTGCTGAAAACCAGACTCCCATCTACCTTTGCAGCCCATTTGGGACATAACACTAAACCATAATTTAAGCATCCCAAAAATGAGCACAGATGAACTTTAAACACACAAGCTCCATTTCTTCCTCTGATGCAGCCTGAAGGAGGACAGAAGCTTCTCTTTAAGCTGAACTTCAGTTTGCCATGTTGTTCAAACATGACAAATTATGGCTGATCTTAAACTATGCTTTGGTGAAACAAACCAAGTTCAAACCATAATTAAGGTTTTCTTTTCTTTTCAAGAAACCATATTCACTATTAGCCAGAGCTTAGGGTTTAGCTGTAATGGTGAATTGTGGTTAATTTAAGAAGCAAAATCTTCTATCATCTTCCCCATAAAGGAGGAGGAGGGAGTGCATGGGAACTTGAGGCTCATTGTTGTCCTGCTAAAGTATGACTTCTGGTGCAGCTCTAAGGTGCTTGAGACAGCATTCCAGGAACCACAGAATGATTGACTTTCCCCTCTCATGGTTGAGAAAGAGATCTGATTTTAGAGGAGAAGAACTGAGGCTCTGTAAAGGATCCAATGCCTCTCAGTTATATGGGAGAAAGGGAGAGGGAGAGACAAAATGCTGAGGAAAATTTAAATCAACCATGATTGATAAACCTCTTCTGTTCTCCCCTACTGGGCTTGTGTAGGGCTTGGATCTCTCTGAGGCTCTAATACTGGAGCTCTCTAAAGAACAGATATGATTGCTCTGCTTATGTTATATCTGAACCAGTTCTCCCCATCCCATGATCCAAATACAGTCCAGGACAGCAGAATACCTGAGTCATTAATAGCAAGTTTGTTTCCTACATATTGTTGAATTTTAGACTATTTATGGATTTGATCTCATATACGGAATGCTTCTTTGGCTAGCAAGAATTCAGTGGAAGACTGATAAACCCTTGAAAGAAGACTTCAAGGCTGATCTTCAGATGATTCTTCCAAGCAAACATGTGCTGTTGTTCTTTGAGATGTCAAGAATGACTCCCAGGTAGCAAGGCACTGGGGTGGGGAAAAAAAGTTAAGTTTAGATTTCATGACAATGATGCCTCAAAATGCATGTTACAAACAAGCCAATGGAGTGGAATTTCAGTGAAACATTTTTCAAACAAAAGCAAGGTAAAGGTAAAGGTAAAGGTTCCCCTTGACAATTTTTTGTCCAGTCGTGTCCGACTCTAGGGGGCGGCGCTCATCCCGCTCTTCAAGCCATAGAGCCAGCGTTTTGTCCGAAGACAATCTTTCCGTGGTCACATGGCCAGTGTGATTTAGACAAACATGTACATAATTCTATTTAATGATCTGGGGTTACAAAGTGTGCAACAGCCATCAGCGGGCAAGTAGTTGTGTTGTGCATCTTGTTTTGTGTTGAGAAAATCCTATAAACAGACCTTTGATTTTTGCAGATTTATTGCTGAAAAGCCTGTGCCGATTTTGGTTAACATCCTGCAATAAAAGTTGCATAGTGCAGAAACATGGCATGGTATGTGGAAACACTTTGGCTCTTGGAAAGGAAGTTTCTTACGATATATAGGATATTAAAAAGCTTGCCTGTGTTCCACACATACACACCCCAAATCATATAAGTCCCTACCCTAAATTCATCTGTTCTGTCTCCAAGGAAAGCCATACTAGTCATGAAACCCGTGGCTTTGTCTAGACCTTCAGGCATGTAGGTGGTCAGAACAAGCTCCATTATCTTCAACAATCATTGTTCCTGCCCACATTCTTTTCTGAATTTATACAAAGTCACTATTCAAAGAAAAGTGCAGACACTATTTTTCATTTTGAGCTACATTTTGTGCATCCATTTGCACAATGAATGGTACAAACATGATCAAATTTCTATAAATATACATCTAGACTGAACATTTAGGCAACTGGAATTTTTCCATACCTGCTTCCTTCATCTCATTGCACCACCCAGGCCATATCCCATGTAGCTTTTTGGCTGTACAGAAAAGGTGTTTTAATGGTAAATCTCAAAGCCAAACTGCAAATGCCACAGATGTGACCGCTAACATCTCATGGTATCCTACAAACACACGCTGACTGTACAATTGGGTGCAACTCTCTTCTGAGAGTATGCTTTCATTTATTCTATGAAATGTCAATGCTTCACCTTTATTCCAAAGCCACCTATGCCATTTACATGTCAATAATTTAACAAAATAAGGTATTCTGATTTCCAATGCAAAGAAGAAAACAGAGCTGCGGAAAACCATAATGTGGCAGCCAACAAAATGCTTAAAACTTTCAAAAGTGGAGACCAATGAAAACAGCATCTTAAGATGATTCATTAAAGGCTGGATCCAGACTTAGAGCAGACTTGCTATCAATACCTTGAATCAGCAAAAGAAACTTCCCACTTCCTCCCTTCCAACTACAGTTCTTGTACCAAATGACAGCAGCTTTTGGAGGGCTTCTTAGCCCTCCCCTCCAAATACAATTTTGGAAGTGCACAGGAGACTTCAGTGAGGGTTTGGGATCCTGTTCCTGCTGAATTCTGTGACTCCACCAGCTAAAGTTCTGCACCAGATACTGCCCGGTGGGTCTCCTCTATGGGATGGCCAATATTGAACCCTAAATGCTTTCCTATTAAGTTATCCGTGAAACTGGCTTCCTTTGGAAAAGAATTTCAGTCAAAAGAATTCCAGGAAAGCTTAAATTCTGAGAGAATGTAGTAACTGAAGAAGCATTAAATAACACTGAGTGCCTGCCTGTCTTGGAAGAGATGGACAGCGAACCAACTTTAGCAGAAATAAAAGCGGCCTTGGATTCCCTCGCCTCCAGCAAGACACCTGGAAGGGACAACATCCCTGTTGAAGTGCTGAAATGTGGTAAGGAGATCATCACCACTGATCTGTATGAAGTCTTTTGTCTCTGCTGGAGGGAAGGTGGAGTATCACAGGACATGAAGGATGCAAACATCGTCACACTGTACAAGAACAAAGGAGACAGGGGTGACTGCATAACTACCGTGGCATCTCTCTTCTCAGCGTTGTAGGGAAACTGCTTGCCCATGTTGTGCTGAAGGGGCTCCAGGTGCTTGCAGATAGAGTCTATCCAGAATCACAGTGTGGATTTCAAGCCAATAGATGAACCACTAACATGGTATTCTCCCTCAGACAGTTGCAGGAGAAATGCAGGGAACAACAACAGCCACTCTTTGTGGCCCCAGAGGGAGACCACAGCTGGGATACAAGGATATCTGCAAGCGGGATCTGAAGGCCTTAGGAATAGACCTCAATGGATGGGAAACTCTGACATCTGAGCGTTCAGCCTGGAGGCAGGTGTTGCATCATGGCCTCTCCCAATATGAAGAGACCCTTGTCCAGCAGGCCGAGGCAAAGAGGAAGTCACAAAAGCAGCAAAAACAGGGAGCTGGACAGGGGACAGATTGAATTTGTCTTCAGTGTGGAAGAGATTGTCACTCTTGAATTGACCTCCTCAGTCACACTCGATGCTGTTCCAAGTCCTCCATACAGAGCACGTTACTATAGTCTTTTGAGACTGAAGGATGCCTACTACTAACGCCCCAAGGAAACTGCAGAAGACTCTTAAATTCTGTCAAATATTGCATACCAGATGAACAATGTTGGGCTTTTTGGTACTGAGAAACAGTTCATATCAGAGTATGAATGAAACCATATTTTCATTTACAGTTTGTTGACTCCTTCTCCCAGTCCTAGTCTAGTATTCACTAGGTGTGTTTACTTCATAAACAAAACAAACCCTGTATCTGTATGACGGCAATCCCATAACTGGTTACCTGGAAGTGTTAAGCTTCATTGAACTGAATGGGATTTCTTGTAAAGTACAAGACATGTACAAGGCAGCACTGTAAAAGAACAGCTCCAGCAAAAGGAATATTAAAAGGTATGAGTGAAAGTATAGTTGATCTCAACTGATCACTAGGTAAAATAAAGCTAGAAGAGAATTACTGCTGTAAACTCTACAATGCCTTCAGTTTTTAGAGATTTGACAATAAGCCTTTACAGTACAGCCAAATTATACACATATTTATTTACACTCCTACTTAGTTTATTGACACATACCACTTAATAGGAGCCCTTGAAACCACAGTATAATCCTATATATTCCACTCAGAGGCCTTATAGACTTCAGTGGGTTTCAGCCCAAAGTAAGTGCATTCCAAAGTAACAGAATTCCTCAACCCTACTGTTTGACCACAACTCCCATTATCTCTAGCATATGGCACTGCTCAGGCAGGAGAAGGCACTGTGAATTATGGTTAATGCACCTACTAAACTTGGAAAGGCCGGTGTACAAGATTGAAGTTACACCCTGGCACACACTTAGTCGGGCGTGAAAATGGAATTGCTCTCAAGGATCTGCATTACTGAAGGCTGTGGCCAAGGCCACTTAATATCATCATCATCATCATCATCTCAGATCTGCAGAGCTGGAAGGGACCCTATGGATCATCGAGTCCAGCCCTCGTCAAGGAGGAACAGTGTGGAATCAAACTCTCAACCTCTGACTCTGTAGCCAGATACCTAAACAACATATAGAAGTTGCTTGTTCCAACCTTTCTTTCTTTCTTTGATTTCTATACCACCCATCCACTCTGGGTGGTTTACAAATTCCATCACTGTAAAACAATAATACAGAGAATAACCAATTAACAAAACAAGTGCAACAGTAATGAAAATAAAATAAATAAAATAATAAAAGGCATGGCAGAGGGTTGGAGATGTAGTGGTTAAAAGCACTACTGTATTAAGATGTTACAGAGTCTGGGAAGGCCTGTCTAAACAGCCATGTTTTTAGTAGTCTTTTGAAAGTGAAAGGGCCAGGCGAATTCAGGGTGGGATATTACTTCAAAGTTGCGGAGCGACCATCGAGAAGGCCTGATTTCGAGTCATCATTTTCCAGGCCTCTCTCGGGGTCAAAACTCTCAACCACGCAGCCTGAGAAGATCTTACAAGACAGGCAGATTTAGTCAGAAGGAGGCGTTATGCCTGGTATCAAGGCCCTTGATATAATACTACATTCTTCCTCACTTTAAAACTGCCTCTACTCTCTCCCACTGCTCTATCATCTGGCCTACCTTTGCTTTCAGACTGCACTCCCAAATCTATTATTTTCAAAGTACATGAAGGGTAGGGAACATGGAGTCTTTCAGAGCTTGTTAGACTGCAGCTCCCATAAGCCCCAGCTAGCTCTACTGAAAGATGCTATGAATTAATAGTTCATCAACATCTGGAGGGCCACTATTCTCTCTTCCCTCAGGCAAAGATGGTGTAACAATAAAAAGAATATCACGAGTGTTTATCCTGTACCCGGTGCTCAAAATATTAGTGCTCATAATTCCGAAAACAGAAACTGGGCTGACAGCTACTCAGGTGAACGAACAAGGATATAAATGTATGATCCCATATATACAGCTTAAATGCCAACTGGATTACTGTTGCCCTTCCTCTGGCTGTAAAGGGAGATTGCTGATGTGGAAAATCCTACAGAAGCCACCTCAGTGCAGCTGGGCTACAGCTGCCATATTCTCCTGCCTTTACCACAAGCCAAGAAAACGCTTTATTGATCTCAGCTCAACATGGCAACATCAAATATTCAATACACTGGATCAGAAATTACCACACATTCTTAAATACTTCATGGTTCTAGCTTATGTTCCAGGCAGGTTTATGGGATAATTATTGTACTTGCTAATGAACTCTACACACAGCTGTCTGCCATCCTGAAATGCTTTCCAGATGTTCTCCCATCTTCCAAATGGTGTACCTTATAAGGCATTACTTGCACTCGTACTAAAACTGTAATAACGTGCAATTTCAGTCATCTCTTGCCATGCCATTTTTGTGTAGTTATTTTTTCATCAAGACCTGTCACAGTGCTAAGACCAATTAGATTCAGAATTACAAATCCAATCCTACACATGTAAATCAAATTTCCTCTTCACATTGTAATCTCTCTGTTTAGTTCACATTAGTGATCTTTTCACAGTAACCAACTTCTCCCCCCTT